CTCAACCCATCAACAAAAAAAATCCTCACAAGTTTGATCTAAACAAACCCTGTGAAGAGCAGCTAGTTCAAGAACAAGTAGAAAAAAACTTAGAACGTATTCGATCGAACAGCAAAGCAAGAGAAGAAAGTAGATTGGAAATGTTGAAGATTTTGCTGCCTTCTTATATTGAAGTTTGAGTATATAGTAATTCAATTAATATTTGTCATTTTTTGTTTTCCATAAACTGCATTAAGTTAATAATCTGTTTCTATTTTCTTTCTTTTTTTGTGGGTAGAGAAAATTGCGTTGATAAGTGTTGCCRTCATAGTGAAGGAAGATTCTCCCATATGGATTTTTTTTTCCAGCATTTAGTTGATAAATTAAGATTTTTGGATAATACTGATAAAAKTATAAGTTCCTAATAAAACGTTCAACAACAAAAATGTTGATAYCAATCCTAATAGACCAAATCCTCTCCACTACTATGACGATCTAAAAACGTTCAACACATGTTCGAGCAACGTAGCATCACAACTTAGTTGTTTCGGAAGSAGACCAATTCTTTCCAATGTATGCTTCTTCGTATGTGGTATTTTGTACTTGTTTGATCCTCCAACTTTCATGATCTCTAGCATACATGATTGAAGAGTCAAAAAAATATGGTTTACYTTTTCCGTMGGATAAATTTCAAACGATTCTTCCACCGCACGAATAAGRTCTTCTACCGTTTTAGGACATGCCTTATGTTGGAGCGATTGAATGGCATTAAAAAATCCAAGATCCAAAATGTTTAGATCCGGCGAGTTTGGCGGTTGTGACATCAATTGAATATGAAAGCCATCTTTYGACGCTGCTTCTTGAAAATCTTTGTCCGAAGCTTCGACATGTGTTCTTGCATTGTCTTGTTGAATAAAAATAGTCTTTCCCCAATCTTCTCTTGGCCACTTTTCACGGATTGCCGGAAGAACTTTTTCGATCAAACATGCTTTTATATCTTCTCTCTTAACAGAAGTTGATGCTTTTACTTCTAAAGTTCCGGCAGCTCTATTCTTACTTCGTCTCTTAGCTGGTTGCATAGTAACAAAAGGAAATATCCCAATCTTTCCAGAAAATACTTCTTTTCCTTCATCATCAAATCTTGGACGAGCCATCGCAGCTAGAAACATTACTTTCCCAATGTAATTCTTGCTTTGACATGTACGATGTGGATCATCTTCAATCGGAAGCAGATAATATTTCTCGGTCTTCTTCGTCATATAAAACCACTTTTCATCGATATGCACAATATTGTACATATCAACAAATTTTGGTTCATGAGGTAAAGTATTCTTATCTAGCATAGAAATGCAAAATTGTAGTCTACCTTTCATATTTGCTTCCTTCAAAAGTGGTTTGATGGCGTTGGAATGACATYGTATAGCTCCTTCTTGCAAGCGCCTATGTACTRTTMCAAGACTCATGTCTACAGCGACGGAAAACGTCCTCAAAGTTGTTCGCTTGTGTAACGGRATACCAGCAACTTTTTCCAAATCAAGTGGGATTTTTTTCCGACCACAATTTHCGGTTCTTCTATGTGATACATCGACTTTTCCATTGCTAGCTGTTTCTTTTGCTTGTCGCCAGATTTTTTGTACCACTTGTAAAGACACCGAAAACATATCCGCAACTTCTCTTGTATGATAATTCTTCAGAGTTCCGTTACTGCTCMTTTCTAGCAAAGCATAGAAAATCTCCCATCTCTTGGCATTAGATAGATTTCTTCTAACTTTTTGTGGAGTTATCTCTTCTTGAGATGTATCTGTTATAATTATAATGAAAACCAGATTAATAAAAACACTCGTTCACCATATGCACAATTAAATAAGATTGATATAAACCATTATTTTACTGTRAATCATCATCATCAATACTACAATATTTTATTGAGAAAAACCAGAAGACATCGAATTCTTTCTGAACGGCAATATTATATGGAAACAGAGTACAATAAAACAGAATATAATAAAAGTATAAGAAAAAAGTTCTAACCTGGATTATGATCAATCGAAAAAGCTTCATGGCCATTAYTTGGATGTTCTTCAGTCGGTGGAATTTCGTTTAGATCGAACAAAGTTTCACTCTCAGAATTTAGAATTGGAATATTCAAATCAATATTAGAATCCATGAATATTTTTGTGAACCATTTTTTAGTGAAGAGATTATATATAGATAAACAAATGAGTTTTGGCTCCATTTTGAAATTTGATTTTTTTTAGTTTAAAACTTGTATCAAAATATTGGCTCCAACTAAATTTTAGTCTAACAAAAAAGATTAATTTAGACCAGTTTTTTGTTTTGACGAGGGTGTGACTATTTAATTTCCAG